AATTCAGAGCATGTCCCTGCGCCCAGGCTGCTCTGTTCCCTGGACAGGGAGCCTGGCTCCCTGCAAGGGTCAGCTCTCAGCCTGCCCAGGGAGCTCCCCACTGTGCTGTGGGGAGAAGCTCTGAGTGAGATAGGAGACCTCCAGCAGGGCGGTTTCATTCTCCTGCTAAGGGGCTGCTGCATGGTCTTGTGTAGGGATAGAGGAACATCTCCCAGCAAGGACACCTCCAAACAGCAGAGAGCAGGTTTAAGAGTGAGAGGAACCTGCTGCCAAGCACCTCATGGAAGGATGGGGTGCMGGAAGTTCTTTGCCAGCCCTTGCAGCACAGATGCTTTCCACTGAGAAAGTGACGTGTGTGTTTTCTCTGCCACCCAGCAGAGGAATSGGGACTGAGCTGATTGTCCTTCAGGAGACCCCATCTTTAAGACACTGGACCCACCCTTTGTGTGCTGTTGGGCTGTTCCCTGCCCTGAGGAGGATCCCAATTCTTCGGTAGGACACTTAGGTTAGCTGAACATCCCTTTCAGAAGGCGCAGAGGGATTAAGGAAATGGAAATGGTGCTGGTGGGTGGGGGAGGTCTGTATGTGGGCAGCTGAAATAAACACTGTGTGCCCTTGCCTAGAAGCTGCATGTCAACATCTCCTGCCAAGGAGATATCCTGCCAAGAATAAAAGGAAAGTTTGTGTGTGGAGGATGGATATGTGTTTCTGTGTTTTTCTTTGTGAGAAATGGAAAAGGTTTTGCAGAACGTTTGTCYTAACTTTTCATTGTCTTTTTCTTCTTGGACCTTCTCTCATGACATGAAGACTAAAATGTCTAACAGCAGCTCCATCAACAGGTTCCTCCTCCTGGCATTCACAGACACACGGGAGCTGCAGTTCTTGCACTTCTCCCTCTTCCTGGCCATCTACCTGGCTGCCCTCCTGGCCAACGGCCTCATCATCACAGCTGTAGCCTGCGACCACCGCCTGCACACCCCCATGTACTTCTTCCTCCTCAACCTCTCCCTCCTTGACCTTGGCTCCATCTCCAGCACTGTCCCCAAATCCATGGCCAGTTCTCTGTGGGACAACAGCGCCATTTCCTTTTTTGGATGTGCTGTGCAGGTCTTTTTTCTCTTTTTCTTATATACAGCAGAATATTCTCTTCTCACCGTCATGGCCTATGACCGCTATGTTGCCATCTGCAGACCCCTGCAYTATGGGAMYCTCCTGGRYRGCAGAGCTTGTGTCAAAATGGCAGCAGCTGCCTGGGCCAGTGGGTTTCTCTATGCTCTCCTGCACACTGGGAACACATTTTCCATTCCACTCTGCCAAGAAAATACTCTGGGACAGTTCTTTTGTGAAATCCCCCAGATCCTCAAGCTCTCCTGCACAGACTCCTACCTCAGGGAAGCTGGAGTTATTGTGGTCAGTGTCTCTTTAGGCTTTGGGTGTTTCCTTTTCATTGTGATGTCCTACATGCAGATCTTCAGAGCTGTGCTCAGGATCCCCTCAGCGCAAGGCCGTCAGAAAACCTTTTCCATGTGCCTCCCACACCTGGCTGTGGTCTCCCTTTTTCTCAGCACTGCAGTGTTTGCGCACCTGAAGCCCCGCTCCATGTCCTCCCCAACTCTGGATCTTACACTGGCCGTTCTATATTCAGTGTTGCCTCCAGCAGTGAATCCCCTCATCTACAGCATGAGGAACAAGGATCTCAAGGAGGCACTGAGGAAAATTCTTCATTGTGTACAGTATCCCAACCAATAAGTTTTTGATGTGTATCCACTCATCATTTCCCTATACTTGGCATACAGGATGGGTTTCCTTCCTTCCTTCCTTCCTTCCTTCCTTCCTTCCTTCCTTCCTTCCTTCCTTCCTTCCTTCCTTCCTTCCTTCCTTCCTTCCTTCCTTCCTTC